GACAGGCTCCACCAGGGTGGTATCAGGCACCTTTGAGTCCTTTGGTGTTTTGACTATTGCTAGTAGTACTCTGGTGAACTAGTTCAAGTGATTAGCAAGTATGTGTAGATACTCGATCGCATGCCTGCCTGGGTTTTTTTTTTTTTGGGGGGGGGTCACACCTTGAGATGCTCAGGGGTTACTCCTGGCTTTGCACTCAGCAATCACTCCTGGCAATGCTCGGGGGACCCTATGGGATACTAGGGTATCGAATCCAGGTCGGCAACATGCAAGGCAAATGCCTTCCCTGCTCCGGGGGTTACCCTCAATTACATGCCTGTTAAAAGATATCTTGATATCAATTTGGGGGGTATTTTTGATTTTTGAGTCACACCCAGTGATGCTCAGGGCTTACTCCTGGCTCTGCATTCAGGGATCACTCCTGGAAGTTCCTGGGAGACCCTGCGGGGTGCCGGGGATCAAACTCAGATCAGCAACGTACAAGGCAAACGCCCTCCCCACTGTCCCATCACTCCAGCCCCTCTATTTACGAGACATTTAAGAGAACCACTCATGTTAGAGGCCAATTACAAACATGTTGTAAGGATCAACAGAGAAGGCCTCTGTCGAGAGATGCTCCGTTATCATTTTCATTCTGTACTTGGCCATCCGAGTGCAGCCTGCAGAGGCTGCAGTCAGCCCAACCGCCCTGGACTCAACCTTGTCCCCTAGCATCTCCTGAGCCCCTCGCTACAATCATGGTGTGTCTGCACGGTGGGTTCTGATGTCTGGGGGTGCTGGTGGATTTTGAGCAATTGCCATACCACAGTGGTAGGGCATTTGCCTTGTGTGCAGCCGGCCCGGCCGAGCCAGGTTCGATTCCTTCGCCCCTCTCGGAGAGCCCAGCAAGCTACTGAGAGTATCTCGCCCACATGGCAAAGCCTGGCAAGCTCCCCGTGACGTATTCGATATGCCAAACACAGTGGCAACAAGTCTCACGATGGAGACGTTACTGGGCCCATTCGAGCAAATCGATGAACAACAGGAGGACAGTGCTACAGTGCTACAGTCAGTTCAAAGATCCCCCTCCAGTTCGATCTGTGTCATAGAGAATGAGGAAAAGGGCTCTGGCAACATCTGTAAGACCTGCAGACCTGGGAGAGCAGGAGAAGCTCAAATAGAAACGCCACAGAGATGCTCTAGGGACCGTCCTAGTGATCAGTCAGGATCCTCTGGCTATTGCTCTGCGCGGGGGTGACGTCCCCTAGTGCAAAACATCCAGGTCGGGGCGGCCCAGGGCCAGGAGTCAACTTGCCCAAAGAAGGACCCTGCAGCATTGGCCCGGGGGCTGCCGGCAGGGGGGAGGGATGAAGAGGAGCCAGGGAGAGCCCCCACAAAACTGTGCCCCACCTTGTGTCACTGAGCCACAGCCAGGAGGGGAAACACTCTGCCCTGTGGCAGGCAGCCCTGGGCCAGGAAGAATGCAGGGGTGGGTGTGGGTGTGGGTAGGAAGAGGGAACTCCTGAAAGTGGGGACCCCAGCACCCTTTCTCAGTGCTTGTCTTTCTTTGCAGGGATGCCCTGTTTGGGCTGGAAACTCTCTAATTTTTATTTATTTATTTATATATTTTTTGCTCTGCAGTCTTGGTTGCATTTCTTAAAGACTTACCGGAACTAAAAGGTGTAACAGGAGAGAATCACTTCAATGCTTTTGTCTCATCAGGGACCTTCTTCCCACACCCAGCGTGCCTCGGCCTGGCCTTTTCTCTCCATTCCTGAGGGCCGCCTGCCCGGCCTCTGGGGCCATGGACGGGCTCATGACAGGCGCCCCTGATGGCTTTCCAGGAGTTTAGCCTTCACGTAGGTCAGGCCCAGCTCATCCACAGGAAGCAAGGAGCCGTGGGTGTCTCCTCCATGCTTTATCTGAAAAGCAGAACCAGTCTGGGGGCTGCGTGAGGAGAACGTATTCCAAAGTAAACAGAGCCCGCCTCACAGAGACAAGCACGCTCACTGAACCTCCACGCCCCCCGCACCAACGTTCAGAGATTGTTCTGGAGTTGATCGTAATGGGGTTGTTTGACTTCAGTCAGCTGTTGTGTGCTTTAGCCTCCCTCCCAGCCGTCAGGCAGCCCTGCCCTGAGCAGAAGTTCTGGCCTGTTCCATCCATCACTCAGTCAGTCCTAAGTGAAGGTTCTGGTCTGTTCCATTTGTCACTCAGTCAGTCAGTCCCAAGGAGACATTTTGGTCTGTTCCGTCAGTCAGCCTATCGTGAGCAGACATTTTGGTCTCTGCTATCAGTCAGTTGGTACATCCTGAGCAGATATTCTGGTTTGTCCCATTTGTCACTCAGTCAGTCCTGAGCAGATGTGCTGGCCTGTTATGAATATCAGTGAGTCAGACAATCCTGAGCAGACGTTCAGGTCTGATTGTCAGTCAGTTGTTCTGTCCCGAGCAGGCATTCTGGTCTGTTCCACCCATCATTCTGCCCTGAACAGACATTCTGGTCTGCTCTATCAGTTAATCAGTCTGTCCTGAGCAGGCGCTCTGGTCTGTTCCATCTGTCAGTCAGTCTGCTCTGAACAGATACTCTGGTCTATTTCGCCAGTCTCTCAGTCAGTCCTGAACAGACATTCTGGTCTTTTCTGACAGTCAGTCGGTTAGTCCTGAGCAGTCATTTTGGTCTGTTCCATCAGTTACTTTGTCTATCCTGAGTCAACATTTTGGTCTTTTCTGTCAGTCAATCAGTCTGTCCTGAGCAGATGTTCTTTCTGGTTTGTTCCATCAATCACTCAGTCAGTCTGTCCCAAGCAGATGTTCTGATTTATTCCGTCAGTCAGTCAGTCCCAAGCAGCTGTTCGAGTCTGTTCTGTCAGTCAGTTGGTCTGTCCTGAGCAGACATTCTGGTTTGTTTTGTCAGTCAGGCTCGCTCTGTCTGCCCTGAAAAGACCTGGGCGAACCAGGGACCGGTGTGAGCCTTCCTCTTCCTGAGCTGTCTTCCCGTCTCCCTTTCCTCAGCAGAGGTGCCTGACCCTCTTGTGAGCACCAACTGCTGTCACCCGCTCTCATGTCCTTCAGCCCTAGAAGCCCTCAGAGAGTGGCCTGGCTCTCTGGGCTGTGCTCTTGCTCAGAGTCTGTCTGCCTTACCCCCTGCTGCTCCCCAGTCCCTGCCAGGCGTCTTCTCACACCGTCTCATGGCCTCTCCTGGAGTGTGATCTTCTGAGCTGAGGACACATTCATGGTGGGGCTTTGTTGGTTTATTCCCAGAATGTCCCAGAGCCACAGCTACAGAAGCTGAGAACTGTTCTCATTGACCATAAAGTCGTGGGCCAGTCAGTTGCCTGTTTTCAGGCTAGAGTGGGGTTGGGGGCCCCTTCTGGCAGTTCAGTGTGGGCCCCAGGGTGCAGTGCTTCTTAGGCCCTACAGTTCGGAGATGATCCAAACCACGTGGCCAACCTGGGTTCGATTCCCAGCATCCCATATGGTCCCCCAAGCACCACCAGGAAGGGGGAAGAGGGGGTGGGAGAGAGAGAGAGAGAGAGAGAGAGAGAGAGAGAGAGAGAGAGAGAGAGAGAAGAAAAGTCTGTCATAGAGGCAGGAAGTATGGGGGGGTGGGAAGGAAACTGGGGACACTGGTGGTGGGAAATGTGCACTGGTGAAGGAACAGTATATGACTGAAACCCAGTTACGAACTTTGTAACTGTGGAGGAAAACAAAAGATAATTGAACTTAAAAATAAAACAACAGCAACAACAAAAAAACCCTATAGTTGAAGAACTGTCTAATTCTTTATTTCTGGTTATTTGAACTGAAAACACTGTCCCCTCACAATGTTGCTGCCACCTCCCACTGCCCCTTCCTGGGAACCCAGGGGACGTCATCTCCAGTGAAACCATGTCCCGGGGCCCCTCTGGGTCGAGCCCAGACTGGCCATATGCAATCAAGCACCCTCCCCACTATACTATCACTTCGACCCGTATTTTAATGTTTCTTTTTTAAGGTTTTGGGCCAGGCCCGCCAGTGCTCAAAACTTACTCCTGGATCTGCACTCAGGGATCACTCCAGGCAGGCTCAGGGACCATATGGGGTGCTGGGGCCAGAATCTCAATTGGACCCGTGCAAGGCAAGTGCATGGCAGTACCTGCTGATACTGTGGCTCCAGCCCCGGGGCACTGTCTTCAAGTCCCTGCTGTGCCTCCAATAGTGCATGCGGCATGCACGATCTGGAACTATTGCAATCATCGCTTGGAAGAGTCTTTCTTTTTCCCCTCTGTGTGTGTGTGTGTGTGTGTGTGTGTGTGTGTGTGTATGTAAAGGGAGGTGGTTGAGGTCACACTCAGTGGTATGTAGGGATAATTCCAGGTTCTGTGCTGAGGAGAGTGACTGGTGCTCAGGGGGACCATATGCAGTTACTGGGATAGAACCAGGGTCAGCCACAAGCAAATCAAGCACCTCCCCCCTGATACTTCTCTCTGGCCCCCTGGAGGAGTTCTTGGGCCCTTGGAAGGGGTTTTTTTTTCTTTTTGGGTCACACCCGGCAATGCACAGGGGTTACTCCTGGCTCATGCATTCAGGAATTACTCCTGGTGGTGCTCGGGGGACCATATGCGATACTGGGAATCGAAGCTGGGTCGGCCGCGTGCAAGGCAAATGCCCTAACCCCTGTGCAATCACTCCAGCCCCAGCTTGGGAAGTTTTTATAGACTGGAGCTTGCCTGATGTTGACAGAGGCACACCCAAGTCGGAGGGGTCATTGCGAACTTAATTTTCTTAGCCTTGAAGAAGGTGAAGACGCCGGCCAGAGGTCAGCCTGCAAAGGGGGGCGGTGATGTGGGTGCCAGCCTAGTCCTACCACTGTCAACACAGCATGTCCCAGGGGTTCCTGAAGCCCATGAAGATGCCTTCCCTCCCTGCCTTCCATCCTGGCCCACTCTGGCATTGGGGTGTGAAGTAGAAATGCTGTGTGTTACCTGAATCTGAAGCATTTGTGTCCCGGGTCTAACCCTCTCTTTTCCATTTCTCTAGAATGTTTCAGACGTTTAAAGAATGGTTTTGGCTGGAAAGGTTCTGGCTCCCTCCCACAATCAAGTGGTCGGATCTGGAGGATCAGGACGGCCTCATCTTTGTGAAGCCCTCTCACTTGTACATGACGATTCCATATGCCTTCGTCTTGCTGATCATCAGACATTTCTTTGAAAAGTAAGTAAGCACGTGTCCGTGTCCTCTCTCCGCGCTGCCCTGTGTTGCCCTGACCCTCCCACCCTGGAGCCTTGGCATGAGCCTGAAAGAATCGGCGTTTCCGAGATTGCCCATCTGGGGGCTCGTGAAATCTGGGGAACATCAGATGTCCCCTAGGAGCCACGCGGGGGGAGGGGGAGTCAGCTGCTCGGCCTCCTCTGTGCACACGGATGGAGATGGACAGTGAGAGCCAGGACCTGCACGTGTCATGACAGCCCAGGAAAGCTGCGTGTGCTCCTGGCCAGTAAGTGTTAGAAGAGTGTTTCCAGGCCTGGCCATGAGGGGCTGAGCTGAGGCCCAAGTTGCATTCCTGAGCACTGCCAGGAGCAACTCCCAAGCACAGAGGTGAGAGTCACCCCTGAGCACTGTGCGGTGCCCTCCCCCAAAAAGCATGATGTGGGGTCTGGTGCATTGTCAACCATAGAAGGGCTTTATCAGGAGAACATCAGATGTAGCCCAAACAGGGCCTTTAAAGACCAAATTTTAGGGTCAGAACGATAGTCCAGTGGGTGGGACGTTTGCCTTGCATGTGGCTGACCCCAGTTCAATCCCCGGCATCCTGTATGATCCTCCAAGCACCGCCAAGAGTAATTTTGTGAGTGCAGAACCAAAAGTAACTCCTGAGCACTGCCAGGTGTGACCCAAAAACAACAAAAAAATAATAATAAAGACCAAATTTTACATTATTATGTAGCAGAAGGTTTATTGAAGGTTGGAAGACCAGCTCGTCATCGCAAAGTATCAGGGAATCAAAGGAAACAAACAAAAAAACCCAATTTGCCTTCTTGGGAAAAGTAAACTTTCCGTTTTCTTAATATCATTTAAATAGATGGTGCTCCCAGCATTTTTTAAAAAAACTATACGAGCATTACGATAACAAGAGATAAATGTTCCTCTCTCTAATCTCTGTAGTTGTCTCCATTTCAAAAAAATATTATTAGTCCATTAATTATTTTGGAGCAAAAGAATATTTTAATGTCAAGAGCTGGAGAAACTTAAGACAGAAATCTGATATGCATCATTTTGTCTGCAGCGGGCTGTAATGCAGATCATATGTTCATAACCAGTTGCAGGACCCTTATCTCCAGAGGGAATTGGAACAACCCAGTTTCGTCGATCCTCCTAAAGGCTTTCAAACAGATAACAATTTCACTTGAGCCAAAACTAGGCGCTCGCTCTAGAGAGGCAGAGAGCGCCCCTGCCCCACTGCCCCTACAGCCCAACAGAAACTGTTCCAGAACGTTCTTTCTCGGCCATCCTGAATTCTCTATTCTGCTCACGCGTCTAGACTTGTTGGAAGTTGTCCTGGGCGGGGGGGTGGAGGGGTGGGAGGGAGGCGGTGACACCGCCATTCTGCCCCACATTCACGCACAACTCTCGGGCAACCCCCAAACGCTTGTTTCCCCCACGGTGGCCGCCATCCTGGAGTCTGCTTCCACCTGCCCCAAACTGGAGGCTCCACTTGCCAAGGTAACACAGCCACCTAGGACCAGCATGTCCTCTGCAGCCAGGACTGGGAGGGCTCCGGCCCACTGGACGTTCCCTGGGTTTTTCTGGATTCTCTCTGGGCAGTCAGAGCTGGTCACTCCTCCTTTTGCCATTTACCATCAACTCCTCCGTTGCATTTTCCTTTCTGTGGGACTCAGAGAACCACGTGTAGCTTCCTGACATCATCTCTCTTAGAGCTGTAGGAGGGAGAAGGAAGGCGGGTAAAAATGGGTGAGAGAGTGAGGACTGGGGCCATAGTACTGTGTAGGGCACTTGCCTTGCATGCGGCCGACCTAGGTTCAATCCCCGGCATCCCACAGAGTCCCCTGAGCACCATCAGAAGTGATTGCTGAGTGCAGAGCCAGGAGGAAGTCCTGAGCACCACCGGGTGTGGCTCAGAAACACCCCCAAAAAGAAGAAAGTGGGAGAGAGAGCATGACCCCTTTGCTCCAGGCCTTCTAGATCGCTGGCATGAGATTAGATTACAGATCCCACAAATGAAACCCCACAAATGACCCCTCCATGCTTCCCCCTACTCCTTGTCTCCTTGTACCTGAATAGAAGTGCGCCCTTTAAGAGGAATGTAAAACTCATGAGCAGTATAATTAATTTCATCCCAGAAAGGTGAGGCAGTGGCCTGGCTGAGGTCACCCAGGTTGTCCATCTGGAATTGGCCCCCGGGGCTCTGACCCCAGATTATTGGGTGCTTCCTGCTCCCCAATACCAGGGTGACTTTCCCATGGCAGTTCTCCTTCGGTCAAAAGAGAGTGTCTCTTGGGAATAGTGAACCAGGTTCCAAAGTCCAAGGGCAGTGTTCGAGCCACGGAACTTGTGAGGGTCGGGACACTTTGGGGCCAAGGGCCCTTTGGTTTCAGGTTCCAGGGAACCCTCTTCCCTGTGTCCCTGCCGTGTTTCGTTCTCTCCTCATTCTGGTGGGGAACAGAAGTCATGAGTTGACTGAATCCTTCAGGTCCCTTTGTCCTTGAGTGTGGAATCACTCGGGGTCAGAAAGAAAGTGGGTGCAGGGGACCCAGGAGGAGCAGAACTGAGTATTTAGGGTCTCTTTCCCACAGTATGTTGTATGTGTATGTGTGTGTGTGGATGTGGGGGACTTGGGTTGCTTTGGGGTGTGTTTTTACTTGTTTGTTTTTAGTTCTGTTTGCGTTTGGTTTGGGACCGGTATAGCCGTTTCTAACTGGTTTATCCAGACTCTTCTCTGCATTCTTTCATGGCTGATGTGTGGCTTTTGCTTTTATTTTTGGGACTATACCTGGCAATTTTGTCTTGCATGCAGCCAACATGGCCAACCCGAGTTCGATTCCTCCGCCCCTCTCGGAGAGCCCAGCAAGCTACCGAGAGTATCTCGCCCTCACGGCAAAGCCTGGCAAGCTACCCGTGATGTATTCGATATGCCAAACACAGTAACAACAAAGTCTCCAATGGAGACGTTACTGGGCCTGCTCGAGAAAATCAATGAACAACGGGAGGACAGTGACAGTGACCTGGCAATGCTCAGGAATTACCCATGGCTCTGCACTCAGGAATTACTCTTGGTGGTTCACAGCTGACCCTAAGGGATGTCGAAGATTGAGCCCGGGCTTGGTCATGTGCAAGGCAAGTGCCCTCCCCACTGTGCTATTGCTCCAGCCCCCTGTTTTGTGTGATTTGTAAGGGGGATAAACTGATCCATGGAACATATGACCCAGCCGGCCACGAAGCCTGAGTTCCCAGGCAGGATCCAGGCAGCTGATGGTCCAGATGAGCACTTTGCACGCGGAAGACTCCGAATGGGCTCTGATCTGTGGGAGCCCGGCCTCTCCCCTTCTCCCAGTGTGCCTTCGTGTCTGTGAGGACTGCCTCCTGGGCCAGGGCCTGGTGCTGGATGAAAAGGGCCCCTGGGTCCAAATGGGCCCCCCGCAGGCTCCCTTCTGCCCGGGACCCCCCAGGAGGTCTGCTCCCTCCCCGTGTTGTAGTTGAGCTGGAAGCCATCAGGCCACCCTCCTGGTCTTTTGGTTTATTTCCTGTTTTGTTTTGTTTTGGAGGGGGAGTCATGCCCAGTAGTGCTCCAGGGCTATTCCCGGCTGGGTAGGTGCTCTGGGATTGTTCTCAGGGTGCTGGGGTTGGAACCGGAGCTTCCGCACGCGCCCCTATTGAATTTCTCCCCACCTTGGCGCCTTTTGAGTCAAGTTCCACGGAATGAGCTGGAAGCTCGTGCACACTTGTGGGTGTGCCCTGTCCCGCCTTCTAGGGGCTGGGGAGAGAGTACAGTGGATAAGGCACTTGCTTACATGCAGCTGACCCAGGTTGGATCCCTGGTACTGCATAGGGTCCCTGCACAAGGCCAGGCGTCCGCCCTGAGTACCCATGGGTGCGGTCCCCAAACATACAGACAACAGAACGAATGGCTCTCTAGAAACGCAGGCCTGGGGTGGTGGAGTGGAGGGGGTGCCCCCACCCTTCCCAGTCCAGTTACCAGGCTGTTTTCTTTCTTCTACCTTTGCTCAGAGAAAGATCTAGAGTCAGCTTGTCGCACACAAACAATGCAGAAGTAGAAAACCTTGCTTGGCTGCTTCCTCTGCTCTGGTGACCCTGCGTGTGGCCTGGCCACATGAGACACGGGGGCGCAGCCCTCACCGCTCTGTTTCCAGGGAGGCTTTTGCTGGCGATGTGGCTCTCACGCTCGCTGAGGATCCAGGGACTGTTCGATCCAAACGGCCTGACATCCTGCTCCCTGACAACCTGTGGGAGAGGCGTGGACGGCATCTCGCTTTGCCGCGGCTTGCATCCATGTCCGTCATGTGGAAGCCTTTGACTCACTTTGGCGCTGCCCAAGTCTCCTCCATCCCGCACTCTGAGGAGATCCCTGAGCATCTGTGACCGAGTGCGCTGGTGCTCTGGGGTTGTTCTCATGGTGCTGGGGTTGGAACCGGAGTTGGTGTGTGTCATTGCCCGGTGGTATGTGTCACTGACCGGTGCAAACAGAAAGCTCTCTCTCTCTCTCTCTCTCTCTCTCTCTCTCTCTCTCTCTCTCTCTTGCAAACTGTCTCCTCGCTGGGCCAGGGCTGAGGGAACACTTTCACCCGAGCCCTGTCAGAAACGTTTTTGAGACTTGGTTCGTTTTTCCAGATGTTTTAGGCTTTGTTTGATTTAGACTTTTTATATGAAGAGAATAGGCAGCAGATTCCTTAAATCACAGCCTTCTGTTATAAGTCAGTACAGACCGACAGGGTGATGAGACTTCCTGTATTCATTCATTCCCTTTTTTCAATAATCAATCACCGTGAGATACACAGTTACAAAGTTGTTCGTGACTGGGTTTCAGTCAAAAAGTGTTCAAAAAACCCGTCCCTTCACCAGTATACATTTTTCTCTCTCTCCCCTCCCTCCCTCTCTCTCTCTCACCCTCTCTCTCTTTCTCTCTCTTCCTCTCTCTCCCTCTCTCTCTCTCTCACACACACACACACGCACACACA